TCCAACTTGGCGAGACCTCATCTCTACAATAAATCAAAAATTAGCCGGGCGTGGTAGCGCGCGCCTGTAGTTCCAGCTACTCAGAAGGCTGAGGCGGAAGGATCGCCGGAGCCCAGCAGGTCGAGGCTGCAATGGCCAGGAGCGGCCACTGCACTCCAGTCTGAGCGACAGTGAGACTCCAACTCAAAACAAACAAACAAAAAAAAGATCTGAATATTTGAGAAAAGTAATCTTATTATTATATATTTACCAGGATATACGACATGACATCTAATTTTGAAAAGCCCTAAATGTTTACCTTAATTTGGACAGAGCCAACCCAGCCACGTGTAGCCTGTAAATACCTACTTCAAGGGAGCATGAGCATACATGTAACCAAGTCACTACTCACTGAGCACAGGGGAGCTGGTCGGAGATAATGCGCAAAAGACAGGGTGACAGCAGCAACAGGAGGGGTGGAGTCAGCAACGGCCAGGCTGCAGTGAAGGCCGGGCATCTCAGGCCACTGCGGTCAAGCAAGGCTGTCTCCATTCAGAGCTCCTAGCTGCTTTCTTCAACTAGCTAAGATTCCTAAAAACACCCTGATGCACGACAGTGAAAACAGAGAACTAGGCTGGGCACGGCGGCTCACACCTATGATCCCAGCACTTTGGGAGGCCAAGGCGGGTGGACTGCCTGAGGCTGCGGGTTTGAGACCAGACATCGTCTCTACAGTAAGTTAAAAAATAAGCTGGGCGTGGTAGCACATGCCTGTAGTTTTGGCTATTTGGAAGGCTGAGACGGAAGGATCACCAGAGCCCAGAGTTGATGCTAGGGTAGCTGTGCGTGTGCCACGGCACTGCAGCCTGGGCGACGAAGTGAGACTCCGACTCAAAAACAAACAAACAAACAAAAACACTATGTGATGACTGAAACAGATGGTCTCTACCTGTTCTGGACACCCAACTGAAGACATAACCTCCCTGGACCTCCCATCTGTCTCGCCCTGTTTTCCTTTCTGTCCACAGCACTTATCTTTCACCATGCTACATAACTTGTAAGTTTTTGTTAATTATCTGTCTTCTCCTGCTATCAAGCAAACCTGTGAGACCAGCGAATCTTTGTTTTGCTCAGCTGAGTATTTACACACCTAGAACAGTCCCCGACAATACGTGATCAAATACTATTATTGAATATTGAGTGAATGGAAATATGTCTAAGACATTTGTTAACTGAAAAAAGTTTGAAGACTACATATAATCTCACTTATGTAAAATTGTACACATTTGTTTCTATGTGTCCATATGCATAGGATGTCTACAGAGATGCTGACCAAAATGGCAACCATGGTCATCTTTAAGTGGTGAGATTTCTGTGCATTTTAATTTTCTTTCTTTGTACATCTATACAATATGACTTTGTTTTTATAATGAACACGTATTATTTTAATATATATATTTCTAAAATCAATTAAAACAATTCCAAATCTATTTCTTCTTTGTCTTAAATCTATCAAAACCGTTAAGTAATTATTTTTCAGTAATCCATCTTAAACTTATTCACAATTTTTTTTTGGAGTAACTGTGTCACTCTATTGCCCAGGCTGGACTACAGTGCCATGATCACTGCTCACTGCAGCCCAGACCTTGTGGGGTCAGGAGAGCTTTCCGCCTCAGCCTCCTGAGTAGCTGGGACTATAGACACATGCCACCAAGTCCAGCAAATTTTTTTATTTTGTTGGAGATGAGGTCTTGCTTATGCTGCCCAGGCAGGTCTTGAACTCCCAGGCTCAAGCCTTTCTCCCGCCTCGGCCTTCCAAAGTGCTGAGATGACAGGCATGAGCCACCATGCCCGGTCAGTGCTCAAGTCACCCTCCCGCCTCAGCCTCCCAAAGTGCTGGAACTACAGGCATGAGCCACCACACCTGGCCACACAAATGCATTTTTGAAACAAAGACAGAATCAAGTAACAGCCGATCGTCAGGTAAACACCTAGAACCCATCTCACGAGCATCACGAACATCTGCAGAGAGAATTTCAAAACCATTACCTTGGAAACCACTTGGCGTGCTCCACCCACGGGTCGTCCCCGGATTCCCAGCACCTGAGTCCGCCGTCACAGCAGAAGCACTTGACATCATCACTGTGACCTGAAATGAACATTGGACCCATGCATGAAGACATATCCTCTGCCCGGTGAAATGGACAGAGGACATGTCAGATTACTTCAAGTTATCAGGTCAAGGTCCTCACCCATGTAATAAAACCCGGCACTTGCAAGTTGCTCGGGGTGTACCAGGATGCTGGAGGGCCAGTTGAAGAACGTCCTGAAGCGGGCTGCGTGTGTCTGCATGCTCAGATTCGAAACCGTGTACCTCGCAGGGTGTTGGTGCTGGTTTTCCAGAAACGGGCAGCGGGGAAAGTGTCTCAGGTGCTCGGACATCGCGTCGTCCTTCGGCTCCCAGTTGCTCAGCTTCCCGCCGCAGGCAAAGCAGGCTACTCGGTCTCCGGGTCCGATGTAGTAGAAGCCTGCCTTGGCCAGATCTGTTGGTGACAGAAAGGTCAGCGGCCACATCTGATAAGTACGCAGTCTGGCCTTTTCGGTATTCATTGCACCGTGGTAGGGACTTGTCCTCAAGGCAGAGTCCTGATTCGCTCGGGAGTTGACAGGATGTGATGGGAAGCTGACGTAAGAGCCGCTGAAATAGCCGCTGTTCTCCGAACTTGGAGGGAACAAAGGTGTGGAACTTGTTACCGAAGAAGGAGACACGGGCTGAGAGGTAGGAGCGTCCAGGGTGTTAACTGACTTCAGAGTCTGAACAAAGCTACAGCTAGGATACAGCTTTTTATGCTTTTCGACGGGATTGTCTCCGTGTTTCCAGTTGTCCAGCATCAGGCCACAACAGAAGCACTTGACCTTGTCGTTCACACCCGTGTAATAGAAACCAGCACGAGCCAGACCCCTTTCGGAGATGGGAACTCCGGCAGGAAACGTGGAATACGTGGACATCCGGTACAGTTCGCACGAAAGGTCGTATTTCAGTTCAAACATGTTGGCGCTCTTCATCAGGTTTGATAAGAACGGGCTATTCTCTATGTTCATGGTCAAACGGACGGGCAAGACAAGGGACCAGCCTTTCTCCGGGAGGTAGTTTTGTGCATGGCTTTTGCTTTTTTTTTTGGTTTTGGTGCTAGGCTGAACACCTAAAATTAGAAATCGTTCATTTTTTTTTTCTACTGCGCATTTAGGGTTTCAACATGAAGATTCCAAATCCTATACCAATACATATTAAGGGACAAATGTACACAACCGCACCTTTGTGCACTCTCTAGATATACAACGTAAACGTGATGCTACACAGTAGCCTGTGATGAAGATTAAAGCCCTTCACAGAAGAGAAAAATTTTTTAGGCCACCAGGATACCCCTGAGTGCCAGGCATCGCACAGGGAGGTCAGCGTCTCCGGGCCACTAGACTGCTTGGTGGCATTCAACCAACCTGAAGACAAAACGCCTGGCTCATGAAGCTAGCTTTTGTTTTAGAAAGCAGATTTATTGAGAGGACAGAAAAGCTCTCACAATGGGAGGGGACCCGAAGGGGTTGCCCTTCTTTTCATGGTGGAAAGCTATGTTTCCATAGCCAAAATATTCAAATTAAGTTTATTTTCCTTTTTTGAAAACTGAAATTTGTAGCCACGGGGGAACAAAAGCATAAGACCTAGCTCAAGAGATTACCATATTCCACTGATTCTGAGATGCTTGTTTTAATACTCCTGTTATCAAGAAGTATCTGAATATAATTAGTGGCATATCATATTTTAACTAGCAGCATTTTATTTCTTAGAGGTACACAGAATCAAGATGTGACTTACAACTGATGACATCTTAGATTCAATGGAAGTAGGGTATATTCCAAATCTTTCTCAAATGAGTAATTTTTCTTTCTGCAATCATTTTACTAGGGAGGACAAAACAACCTAAAATTCCCCTCAAAATAAACAGCAAGAAGTAGGAACAGGATGAGCTAACACATCTGAAAAGCCTGGTTTCAACATTTATTAGATTGTAGCTACTTCCTCATAGATCATCAGGAACATGGATGCTTAGTCATAGTGACACCATCGGATCTTAAACAATTAAACATTTTATTTTAAATAATCATCAGTGATTAAAGTTCATTTGGTCTTTCAGACTCAGCTTCCTGCTGTTGAAGTAACACACCGTAACCATTTTTTCATTCTAATGGTGTACTTGGCTAGAACCTGAAAACATTCTTTATAATTATGGTAGACAACAGGTACTACAAAAAGAGATTCTGCCACAAACTACCAATAATAAAATCGAGCCTCACTACCATATTCAGGTTGTTTTTGAAAAAGACAGAATCGTGATTTACTTTCTCTTCCCTTGGTTTAAAAAATTTCTTAAGATAATTTAGACATGGCTATAAAATGATAGATCTTTCAGAGATTTTAAAATGATTGTGCCCCTCAAAGAACTAACATTGGAGAGTCATTCAATTTATCATCTGCTTAAAACTTTTGTTTTTCTAATTGTTTCCAGAGCCAACATCAAATCTTCTACTCTGATAGTGAATTTATTTTTTTTTAATGGTCAAAGGTTACAAAGTGCCAAATGTATAGGCTAAGATGGATCATCAAACGGCATACATTTGGTTTTGGTTGGAAATGATTTCACAGATAGCATGCCTTGAGACGGAATTTATCATGACAAAAAAATTTAAAAATTTACTTTCTCATTTGAACAGCAGAACCTGTGTCAAAATTTGGAATTTCTCAATGATGACTTACTCTCCATTAGAAAAGAGGTTCTGTGCCAAAAATACTAAAAATGACCAATAAACAAGTCATGGTGGTTTCCTACCAGTGATTAGCAAGCATGGATTCCTGGATCTGCTGGGGCTTTCTACTGCAGATGTCAATGCTTTGTTTCCAGATGGCTAATGTTACATGCCATTTCCCTCAGTGGTAAACTGTTGTATCTAACTGCACTATTCCTTTAACTGGTCAAAAATTGTACACATTACTATAAAAATCTTTTTATTCACCACTGTCTTTATATAAATTTTCTTTCTGAGTAAGTTTGTTCCTTGACCAAAACGTAACCATCATTCTCATTTGCCTTCTTCTCAAAGACAGCAACCCACTAGAACAAACTCAACTTTGACCTTTCAAAAATATCAGCGGTCTTGATATATTTGGGTAATTTCTTCACCAGTCATCACGTTTATCTTTCCTACTTCCTCTAAATTTGTTGTACCTATCAGAACGTTTTGTTCTTGACATTTCTTTGTCGCTGTAGAAGTCTCTTAACACGCCAAAGGTTTCATCTGTGTATCTCTGTTCTAGATGAATGCCACTCATTTTTCAATCTTTCCCAAACAAAGATACTGCTTCTATTTACACAGCAGCCAAAGGAGACTGCCTGGCCAACTTTGAAAAAGGTATTTCAGCAACAAGCCCCAGCTCCAGTCTCTACTTCCTCAAATCAAATTCAAAATCAAACTCCTTCTACAACTAGGTCCTATTTTTCAAATTAACATTCTACTTAATTTGTTTACTCATGCACAAAACTACCTCCCGAGATTAGACTAGGTCCCTTTGAGGGATTTTAGGCCTCCATTTTGGGATGTTTTGATTTATAGAAAAAACTGAAAAAAAATCTAGAAGTAGAACCGTTTGCCTCCTTTGTAAACCTGTTAAAAAAAGAAAGGCGGTTTTAAAAGTCAAACAATTCACAGATGTAACATGATTTTTTAAAAATATCCTCTCCATAATAGAGCACCGGTATTTATCGACTGTCTCCCATGAACAAGACACGTCACTAGACACTGAGGAGGCCAAGAAATCCCAGCTCAAGACCCATCAGTGGTCCTAAAGTGGTGGCGAGCAGGCGCATTATGTTTGGATTGTAAAGAATTGGGTTCCAGTACTTTACCAGTTTTTAAAGTTTTAACTTTGAAATTAACTTATACTTAGAGAAAACTTATAAAAAAAAATACAGAATGGGGGGGGAGATGGGATTAACGGTAGTAAATATCTGTCTGGGGACGGGGAGACACCTCTTATCAGCAAGGGTGCCCGAGCGATGCATATTTGTATACCTAACCCTTAACTGTACCCCACAATATCATAATAAAAAATATTGATTATAAAATAATAATAACAATAATAATACAGTTTTCACCTAGCCTACACTCAACTTTCCCAAAGCTAGCATCGGACACAGCCAGAATGCAATGGTAGAAACCAGAAAAGTAACAGACACAATGCTGTTGATGAATCTCCATGCTTCATTTGAATTTCACCAGTTTTCCAAATAAGTTTTTTCTTAGACCACGATATTTTTTAAACTCTTATAGTTAACTGCCAACATTTTTTTTGAAGGTCATGAACTCATCTTTATTTAGAAGCCTCAGACTAGGAAATACAAAAATGACAGAAATGACGGAATGAAGGTAGATAAATTATCTTTGAAGAAAGTCTTGGAAACAAATGTTTTTAAGCAAAGCAAGTACTTAAAGGGAATTGACTTGAATTTAATGATGAACAATGTGATAAAAGAGATGTAAAAAACAGGAAATGCTACTAAGTCCCCAAAATGAGGAAGAGGTGGGTACATTTTGAAATCTTATGAAGGTAAATTTGAGGAAATTAAGATGACTTTCATATGTAGGAAGTAATGTATAAAATTCATTACTTCAAGAAGTAGGACTCTTACAAAGGGTTCTGGGGAAAGCATGAAAAGGTCATAAATAGTTATTCAGAGTATCTGAGATGAAGGGTGGTATCAGAAAAAAAACCCATGAACTCACAGGATTCCCCATGGGACTTTTGATTACAAAGTCTACATTAAATGGACTGAAAATCTAAGGCGCTAAGGCCATATCATGCTCCCATATTTTTCCATTGCTAGATACATGGATAATTGGTTACTATTATTCTGCTAAACCTGTGAGCTTTTATTGTAATTTACTCAGAAAGAAATTATTTCTCCAGTTTAGCAATTCAGCATGAAAATCTCTCCCAGGACATTCATGTTCAGTGTAAAGCTAAACCCTTTATAAGGCAGCTGAAGCCCTTTTGCTTTGCTTTTGTCTCAGAGGATGTTGAATTCCGTTTCTCTCTCTAGTTAAATAGTAGCCCTTAGTGAATTGCCAACATTTTTTTAATGTCAGAAATATCCCATAACATTTTAAATTCCAAGCTTTTCTTGAAAAAAAAAAAAAAGGCCAGGTGCGGTGGCTCATGCCTGTCATCCTAGCACTTTGGGAGGTAGAGATGAGAGGATTGCCAGAGCTCAGGAGTTTGAGACCACCTTGAGCAACATAGCGAGACCTTGTCTCTCCAATAAATAAATAAATAAATTTAGTTGGGCACAGTGGCACATGCCTATAGTTCCAGCTACTTGGAAGGCTGAGGCTGGAGGTTCTCCTGAGCCCAGCAGGTCGAGGCTGCAGTGGCCATGAGTGTGCCACTGCACTCCAGCCTGGGCAGTAGAGAAAGACTCTGACTCAAAAAAAAAAAACCCACAGATTTAGCAGCACTGGGTCTGCATCCCTGTATGGCATCCATCAGTGGGAGCCGGCAGCCGCTAGATGGACCCTTTAGAAAAAACTGGTACTTTCTCTGACTCTCTGGTCCCCAGACTGTCCTGTGGTCTCTGCTAGCAACAACAGTCAGGCAGTGATTGCTATTTGTCACCGAACTGGCACTATTGCTTTCCGTGAACTAGAATCACATGGGAAGTGAAACTGTTGTAACATCTGTGTCTATCAAAAGTAACAAAAATGAAAGGCAAAGGAGCCTTGAGAAAAATGAGAGAACTAAGAGTCTCTGTGGAAAGCCAGATGATTTCTTCATGTCAAATGTGCAAACGATTTGCTTCTGTTTTTTTAAACAGACACCTGGGCAACCAAGCCTGGACAACGTGGTGAGACCTCGTCTCCACAATAAATCACAAAAAATTAGCCGGGCATGGTGGTGTCCACCTGTAGTTCCAGCTACTGGAAAGGCGGAAAGATTGTCTGAGCCCAGCAGGTGGAGGCTGTGGTGGCCATGAGCATGCCACTGCACTCCAGCCTGGGCAACAAGAGTGAGACTCCAAACACCACCCAAAATCAAGTAAAATAGAGACACCCACCGTTTTGCTCACTTTCGTTTTGTCTTTGAGTCAGAGTTGCACTCTGTCACCCAGGCTAAAGAGCGGTGGCTCGATCACAGGTCATGCAGCCTTGAGCCCCTGAGCTCAGCCTCTCAAGTAGCTGGCACTATTGGCACCAGCGACAACATCCAGCTTTTTTTTTTTTTTAGAGATGAGGTCTTGCTGTGCTGCCCAGGCTGGTCTCCAACTGCTGGGCTCAAGTGATCCTGCTGCCTTGGTCTCCCAAAGTGCTGGGATCACATCTGTGAGCCACCATGCCCACCTGTTTGGCTCATTTGTGTCATCTGCCTGGCCTTTGTGGGCGTTGGAGTTTGCCCTCTTTGACTCCCTGGTATCCTGGCTGACTGGGCATCTCACCCAGCCTACCCTAGAGAAGCTTGGTGCGGAAACAAGGCATATATGTGCAGGGATTCTGGCAACAATTGTTCTATCAATACACAGAGACAGGCCAAGACGTCAGCTTCTGTTCTAACCCTTTCCGGCACCTGGACACCCACTCCCTTCAGACTCGGCCAAGACCAGCTCGGACCCGGGCGGCCCACACCAATCCAGAGGACTCCAGCCCATGGCCCGAGCACCTTCCTCTGAGCCGCCAGCACCTTCCTCAAGTCTCCCCTCCGCCATGCCCCGCTCATTTTGAGTGGTGGCTTCCCTTCTGTTTCTCAGAGACACCCCTGAGCAGGGATGCGTTCGAGTCCTCACGTCCACACTCACAAGCCACTCCCTGCCTCGGCTGAAGACGGGCCCTTGATGGGGCCCCCTCTCCTGCTGCCTGGGGATCTCGTTCCCACCCCGT